CACTTACCTTTTTATTAAGAGACAGACCATTAAAAAGCCGGCTGCATAAAAGAAAAGAAAAGGCTAGGAAATGAAGTTATGATTAAATGGCTATTTCTGGTTGAAAAATGGGGAGGTGGAGACTTACAAAAGTTTCTCCGCTCCCCTGTGAAAGAGGACAGCATGTTTTGAACCTGGGGAGAAAGGAACAAAAGCCACAAATCCCCTGCTGCTTCTGCTTCCTGCTTCCACCAAATGGACTCATCATTACTGTATGCGAACCCAAGCAGCATCTCTTGGTGCTGCATGGCTGGCACTGTAAGGGGACAAAATGCAATTAATACCCAAATCTGGGATCTCTGACCTCTAACACCAGGCTGAAACCTCTGGCACGCTTGTTCTTCTCTGCTGTAAGGCACCAAGAGAGCCTGTAGGGTCTAACCCAAGGAAGAAAGAGCAGCATTGACTTGATCCTTTCTACAAAAATGTTAGAAATTAATAATCAGTAGTTCAGAACCCAGCCAAAGATATCGCCCCTCTGAAAACCATGAATGTTAGGACTTTCTGTGACCATTTCCCAAGGCCGCCAGCACAAGTCAGTGCTCACACTTGATAGCGGTCCTTCAGCCTGGATAAATGTGTTCAGATTTACGTGAATATGCATTCAGTAAGTAAAATGTATTCTTATGCACGTGTAGAGCCAAATAATCAAGTTAAGTATTCATTTTATTTACCCAGCAGACAGTTGTCTTTATTACATAAATATATAACTAGGCACTTAAAATGTGAGTATTTGACACAAGCCGGGTTCGACAAACTAGTGTGGAGACACTGAAGTGTATCACAGATGTTATGAGCATCTGACTATAGCCTTAACTGTCTGACAGCCGGATTGTTGCTAGCCCTGAGTCTGTGGCTTATTGACCCAACAAACCGTAACCAAGCCTTTCCCACTTGCAGTCATGACGCTCCGGTCTGGCTGCCCGACATCCCCAGCAAGAAATCGGCATATTTGGGCTGACATCCAGACAGAATAGTGAGTATATTACAAGCAAAGCATTCATTTAACAAGAAAGTTATTTTAATGATTGCTTCCCGAATACCCAAAGGCACTAGTCAACACTGTGGACTAATGGCCTACAGATCTGTGTGATCAGTACACATTTTTAGCATTACAATGTTTTTTTTCAACAGCTTCAGATGGCACGTTATGTGAAATACCTCTAGTCTCCTGTTAACAGCTTTGTTTCTGTATACCTTCCCATTTCTTTAGGCAAAAGGAAAATATATCAAACAAAAACTGACCAGTAAGAATCCCAGTTGTTCCAACTTGTCTGAACTCAGCGCTGTTCTTTCTCCAGGTATTTCTAAACATCGTGTTGGACACCCCCTGTGTTACTCCAGATCCAAGTTTATGTTGATGTAACTCTTCTAACGTAAGTCAAATTACATAGCTAAAAAATCAAAGTGGCACAGTGGTAAATTGGATCCATTATTTTACAGGATCAGTGTAACACAACAGACAATATAACAGCTTGAGCAAGGACAGTTTTACATTTCTTTTACCCATCACAAAAACCTCTGTAATATGTGGAGTATAAAGCTCACAAATTACATTTTAAAGGAACTACCATAAAGTATATGCTTCAAATGGACCTTTTACAATATAACACAAAATTCAAATGACTCTTTTTTTAGGAAAGCACTTAAAACTTGAACAATTACATCCTGACAACATTAGATTACTGTAAGCTGTAAACCTTGAAGTTTTGTGATTAAATAAAATCAACCATACAATTTCCAGGTATTGTAATTATTGAACAGATCATAACAACATGATATATTGTAGATGTGAAGCTTAGGATACTGGTGCTGAGAAGACCCTCTCAATTCTTTGTAGATTTGCACGTAGTGAAATAGGTAACAGCTGGAGTAGAGGTTAAAGTTTTACATATTGTTATCAGTGCTTTGCAAGCAGCGGTCTGTACAACTTCATCTCTGTTCTAAAATAATTTTATGGAATCAATACTACCTTAAAAACCACCTCCAGTTCAAACTCTGCTGCCAGATCTCCTTCAGCATTTGGAAGGAAATATTTAAAAGACAACATCAGATATTGTTAGTGACCTGTATGTGTGTAGACATGTGAGATTTTATATATATAATATATATAAAATCACAAACCTTGCTGAAGCTTCAAAATGGAACTACCTGTAGGTAAGAAATACAAGTCCTTTTCAATAAAGTTAAAGGGTTTATTTATACCTGAGACATTTTTGCATATTGATGTCTTTGTCTTTGTACCTCTAGGTACTCACAGAAATCCTTTGCACTTTTTGGGGTCTCACCCAAAGTCCACTGGAGTTAGCTGGATGCTCCTTACTAGCTCAGTAGACTTTGACCGAGTCCTAACTTATCTAACCTGGATCTATAAACAAAGATGTAAGACAGTGAAATATATATATATATTTGAATGAGCAGTTGCTCATTCAAAAGTACAAGTGGGCAGGCTGGTTCATACAAGTCCAGAGTTCATCACTTGCATGTGTGATTCAGAACAGAATTGTAGTCCTTCCTGCAGGGGGATGCACATTTCTACTTGGTTTAAAACAAAACGAAAAAACCAACAAACACAATTTCTTGAAATATTTCTCCAGCTAGTGGATCACGGGATATACCCAGTATATTGAGAGCACCCCCTTCTTAGTTGACCTGCTTTCTGGTTCTTGAGGCATTCGACCCATTTGTCCTCCCAGGAAGTGAGAGAACCAGCAGTGGAGGAGTGATAAGTTGCTGTAGCAACGTTACATTATGATCACAGGTCAACGGAGCTGGGCTAAGTCAAGCAAACTCAGGGAGTGCAAGAGCCAATGAAGGCACTGGGTTGCCTGACTCCTGCCGGTTTGTCTGGGTGTCCCAGCTGTGCACAGCCCAGCTTGCAGCTCCTGGCCCTGCAGAGAGCATGTGCTGAGCAAGCACAAGCAGGGGCACAATCTAAATAAGGCTCTTACAAAAATTCACAGTGTTATTTAGTTTGGAAAACATCAAACTAAATTTAGAGGTACACTCTATGAAATAACTCAGTTAACAAAAAAAAAAAACACACCATGTTTCACTCCATTTTGCTTCTGGCAGGGAATCTCTTCATAGCATTATCACATTGGATAATGTAGCAATTAGAATTGCCTATTTTATGAAATATAGTTTAATCGGTGGAAAAGATACTAGTGGAAGTGAAATAAACTGTGCTTTTAGATGTGGAATTGGACTTGAGTAATCAGGGAAAACAGTAGTAAAATAATTCAAGGAAAACATCACCAATTGAATCAACTTTCAAGTAGATCAGTATGCTCTCTTAATGTTGCACTTCTGATTTATTACTCTGCACTATGTTTTTTGCACTGTATTTTACCAAAAAGGATGAACTGTAGTGATGGTGGTCAACAAAGTTCTCTTTGAAAAGCTCTCTGTTCTACTGTACAGGCATATGATGGGGAAGCTACATTTCACTGGTAAGTAGAACATCATAGACCTTACATATCTTGCAAATGTTTTAAATATTTGTATGTAATATTTTTTTGTGTAAAATAGATCAGATGTTCTTTTCCAAGTAGCAGAAATTTCTAACATCTGACACATGTAAATAGATAAAATGTACCCAATGCTTTTGAAAATGAGGAGGACACAAAATGAACCAGTAATGAATGCCAATGTGACATAGTGACATGTTAAGCATCAGATGTACAAAACTCTGTTGCTTGCATTTCCAGTTGACTGTTTTGATTTTACAATCACATCCCTTCGTTGCCCTTTCCATCACTGTTCCTTTCTGTACCTCATCCAGCAGCTAAACTGGAGGTGTTTCGGAGAGAGCAACCTCAGCACCCTCTGTTCCAAACCTGCTTATTCTGAGGCCAGTGGTGCAAAGGGTATGTACTTCTCTTTCCCTTCTTATCATTCAGGAGCTCTCTGGCACAACTGCAGACAGCATTCTAACTTTCACAGAGCAACTGGCACAGGGAGGCACTTATGTGACATGTTTAAAACTTATCTTTGGTAAACACACATGGAAATTTGCAATGCTTCCTGAACATAAGAGAAATCTTCATTTGCTACTGGTGTATGAGTGCAGGTAAGGAAGCTGACATATGACACTGCCATTGTAAAACTTTTTTTTCTAATGCTACTACTGCCAAGAGTTTGTTTTAAGTCACCTAAAAACAACGTAGTCCTGGGCTGTTCTTTCTTTTCTCCTGACTCTGTTTATTATGCATTGAAGCATCTCTGATCAATAACAAATTAGCAATAGAAAGCAAGCCCTGTGTGCTCAATTTTCACCTTCTTTCTCACTCTATTACCTTGTTGTTCAGGGCTAATCTAATCAGAATAGTAGTATCTCTTTTATTACCTGGGGTTCAATGCTTAAGCACCAAAATCTCTCGCTCAGATCAGCAGAAATTCTGGATACCCCAAAAGTCTGATTCTGCTCATGTAGGGATATTTCATCCCAACCCCTACTGAGGAGTACTCCACTGGGGAGGGGACTTCATGTCTGATGGAAACGACCAGGTATAGCTTACAGAGTGCACTCAGTGCATCCAGGAACAGTCCTTTGTTGTGCATTTTCAAAAGGTGCTGTAAATAAATGCTGTTGGAACCCACATGGGTATAACTGTTGGATGCTCTAGTGTAAAGTACCCAGAACACCAGCAATTCTAGAATTAGGCATTTCTACTGAGAGGTATTTGATTACCTTAACTTTACACTTTAAAAATTTTGCTTAAGAATTTATTAGAACCTAGAACTTAGTGCATTTCATCTTATAGAATTAGAATAATTTATATTCTTCTCTTTTCATCCAAAAGTATAGCCCAAACACAAGTGGGGGACATAAATACATCATCGTGAATAACAAGAGACACATTTTTCTTGTGATCTGCTTAAAGGTGTTTGAGACATTGACCAAATAACTTTGGCAACTTGCACAAAAATATGTCCTTAAATCAAAAGTGATAATAAAACTTGGTTGAATGAGGCCTTTATTACGGAGAGAACTGGGGAGAGAGGGGTGCAAGTGCTGAGAAGGTTACTGTGTTCCTAAACCATGCCACTTTGCATTTGTATGTGAAATGGGTATGGCTGGTAGATGATAGGTGGTTGTCCATGAGCAATGTAATAATTGCTGAAGTTTCTGTCACTGATATAAGGGGCAGGCTGATAATAACATGTTACATTAGCTGCATTTGGGATAATATTTTGTTCTCCGAGAACTTTTAAAGCCAAAATTGTAATCATATTCAGAGTTTGTCTTCGCTCATGTCCCATGAGACAGACTGTGCTCTCATTTACAACTCCACGCAGAGTCATCAAGTAGTCATACTTGCTTTTTTCTTCTCCGATGAAGTGGTTGCGCAGATATGACTCAATTTTCCTTTGCTGCTCAGCAACATCTGGAAAATCAATGAAGAATCTGGAGCACATGTAACGTTCCAGAGATTTAATTTCAGCCTCATCTGCTGGCTTAAAGTCACGAACCAGGAGATTGCTGTACTTCAGAAGGCCACCTCCTCTGATTTCCTCAGGGTTCCTGGTGGAAATCAGTTTGTATTTTAAATGGTCCATTGCTTCATTGAAGTCTCCATACATACTCTCTGCAATAATAGTGGGGTGAGAGTCTTCTGTCAGGTTGCAGTCTGTTTCTTTGTAAACATTTAAGATGGAGTCCAGCACGATTTGAAAGGAGTCCACACTGAACTCAAACTGTCGCCTGAGCGAATTAACAAACTTTAACTCCACATTCTTGCCGCTGTTGTTTGACAGCGAGATGAGGCTCCAGCGATCGTGATCGGTGGAGACTTTGACCATCTTCTGCACGTAGGCATCTTTCATAGTCTGGGCAGTGATTTTTTCCTTATTAACACATTTTGGCAAAAAGTCCAGTAGGCAATTAAGAACTGCCTCCTTAACGACCTGAAACTCAAGCTCACTTGGAAGTTCCACCCCGAAAATGATATCTAGGTCCTTATAACTTGTTCCGTTCTGCTTCACTAGGATGTGGCTAGCTGTTGAACCATTCAGGCGGATATCTCGAATGTTGATTTGCCTTTCAATGAGCTGCTCCTTAACCACACGAATTATATCCTTCGGTTTTACTTCCAGTGTTGGAAAATTCCCTCTTCCATGAATGGGTATTACCTCTGCTAAAACTTGATCCAGGATTTTAATCTGATCCCAAGTGAGACTACTGAACCTGTGGTCTAAGTCCTCAGTCATTGTGATGTAGGTTGGCTAACTATGGAGAAACAGAAATTAGAGAAAAACATTAGAATGTACTCAAATACAAGAGGGTCTGCATTTCACTCTGCAGTGACAGAAACATCTCCGTTCCTCTGTGCAGTGACAAAGCAGTTCCTTTTACACAGAGACACAATCCGAATTAACTTTCTGAGTGAACCACTGCACTTCTCACAGGCTTTTAATTGAATTTTAATGCAGTTCAGGTTTTAATCCTGCTGAGAAACTGTTGTGTTATTGTATAATAAGTCAAAGCCAATGCATAAACCGTACAGATTTCATTTAAAACTACTCAAAGGTTAATAACATGAAATACTGCTGGTTGTAATGAAACTCCAAATTTCATTGAGCTAAAATGAGCAAATTGAGTTATTTCTGTCCTGTCTAGAATATTCCTTACATCTTCATTCACTTGCACTATGAAAAAAAAACAAAAATGATGCAACATGCTCGTTGTTTACCCAGTCAAATGCCTTGAATGTACTTTAGTCTCTGTGGGTTATCTATATGCACACATCCTTTAATACCACTTCTGACAATTTAAAACTGGATATCCAACAACTGTGCAGTTGTTTCCGTTATATTTCTGAAGCAAAATATTTTGCTTCTGTTTCAATAACTGTCCAACAGCAATCAGGAATCAAAGCTCCAAGCTAGGGTTTGCAGAACTGAAAAGAAGACCCCTTCTAGTCTGCACTGATACCCTAAAACTTCTCGAGAGAGCCAGCAAAGAAATCTGTCTAGAAGATGAAGGATAAAGCTCTGGGTCTAAAATTCCTCAGCTTATATTTTTCTTATCTTCATATCAACGTATTACGTAAGCAGATAGACCTTAGCATGGTTATTTATTTGCATTCTATTTTTATTATCAAAAATAGCCATAACAGAAAGATGCTGTGAATTCTGCAAGTAGTTCAACTGGGGGTGAGTAAGGTTGGGAAGAGGAGGTTTTGTATAAACTTTCTTGTAAATCTGTGTTATTGTTATGGTTTCGGTAGATCAGCTCTAATGAAGTACTAACAAACTAACCACTGTTAGTTTTAGAATTGCTGCATAAGGAGTACTTGTATGTTATGTGACTTATACTGCAAAACATTGAAAGAGCTTTCCAAGGTTAATGCTGTGATTAAAAAAAATAAAGGGCTTTGAGAAGGGAATGTTCAAACCCCTTCCTTTAGCAGAGGAACTCGCTTAAAAGACTTTTGGAAAGCTGGAAGATGGAAGCCCTAAGTAAGATTGGAAATCCATCCTTTATTTTTACGTGTTATTAGTTATTTTAGATCTCATTGCTATATACTAAGATGTAAAGATGACAGCAAAAGGTAATGTCACTGAGTAGTTCTTTTGCATCAAAGGGAAATTGGATAACTTCCACTCCACTATTAAGAGCAGCACCTTAAAATTTCATTCATCTAATGTGACTCCTGGAGAATCTGCTGATGATTTGTCAGTTCAGAACCTCAACATTTATGTCTGAGAAATCTTTTACAAAAACTGCTAAGAGTCCAGTGCTGAAATGGTGCCTTCTGATTTGACAGGAAAATGTCTGAGAAAAAAATAGAATTATGTTTTCAAGAATATAATTAATTTACAGACAGACCTAGATAAGTTTGGGTTTTCTTTTAATTGTATAATTTTCTTACAGTTTGTAACAGTACATAATTCTGCATGTTCATAGAAGGATTTTCTCTTGTTCTTTCCCTTAATCTTGTTAGGGAACAAGAACAATTTCCAGGCTATTTTATAGTCATTAGGAGCCTTATTTCTTAACTAGTGGCAAATTTATTTACTGAGGTGTTCAACCTAATGTCAGGAGTTATTATTAATACAAGTAAAACTCAGAAGCAATAAATCACCAGAAATCTTAAGACCATAATTAGTCAAAGCACTGTGTAAAGTGAGCGAGATGGTGAGAAATGAGGAGGCAGCTCACTGCAAGTGCCTCTGTACAATGAGGTGGGTGGGAAGGAGCTCGGGGTTCACGGGAATGGAGACTGAATGGTAGCTTCATTCTCAGCTATGACTGCATGGAAACCAGGGACTGGTGATGTCTGCAAGGGAGAATGATGCTGGGAGGCAGATGTATCTCATGCCCCACTGCCAGCAGCTGTGCCATTTGGGTGATTCTATGTGTGACACTGAGAGTTGTCATCCTGCAGCACCTGTCTTCCTTAGGTCTGGCCTGTTGCTCCCTGCCTAAGAACAACCTTTCTGTGAGTTCTTCCACGTGAACAGCTGGAAGTATTTCATATGCTTTATATTCAAAGTTCTATCTTGAAGTCCATCCATGGGCTGCATAAACACTAGCACTCTGACAGTGAAAAGAACAAATAGCCTTCCAAATGTGTATTGAAAAGTGTTATCTTTCCTTAACTCATCAGTATTTGGAACTTGTTGAAATTCTCTTGTAGGGACTTTTTTAGGGTTTTTTTGTTTGTTTATGGGATTTCTACTTTTACTATATACTGCATTGGACCCTGAATTTTGACCAATATAAGATCTTTGGACCAAACAACTATGAGTTTGGTTTCACAGTGATAAAAGATTTAGTTAACCAACTCTTAGCATTCTGCCATATGCCAGCTTCATAAAAAAAAAAAATAATAATAATAAAAATAGGACTATATCTGGCTTTACAGCTCAATCAGGAAAGTCTGCCAGGGTAATGATAACTTTAATGCTGCACACAATTTTCATGGAAACAGATGCAGTCTAGAGGACAGTCTCATCAAATTTAGCTCATATTTTACCAGTAAGCTGTTTAAGAATCTCTTTTTATGTGCTCTACAACATTGCTTCAGTATATTTTCAAAGGGTTTGCAATATGCTGGCATTGTCAAGCAGAATACATCTGAAATAGTTTTTTGTGCAGCTGTGTTAGCTCTAGTCTCTTCCCTTTGATTTCATCTACTGCCCAGTTTGTCTGTTTTACAGCAACTATCTGGAATACTTTAACGCTCCAGTTGTCCTTACCTTTGTCTGCACCTGAAGCCAGTTGCTAAGGGACCTTGTAGAAATCATGTAAGATATCATGCCAGCTGCTGTGGTAGCTTTGCATCCTACCATTTTGGGATTTACTCAGGGATGCTGAAAGTAGCTATTGCAGTTTTCCCCCAAGAGCTTGGTATTGCTTGTGCTCCATACACATTACATGCATCATTAATTATTTCTATGATATCCTGCTAAAGCTTTATTTTAATTCAGCAGCACGGTTCTCTAATAAGCTGGACATTTGCAAGTGTTTTACATACGTAGTGACTTCAGGACTGCAGCTGGCTTTAGCTCTGAAGGCAAGAATATTGAATATGGAAGGAGGTCTGGGCGTAATTTGAATGCACATGAGAGATTCAGAAGCAGGAAAGCACCTGGGGCATCTTCAATGTGAACATATTTAAACTAGATGGACAGTGTTTTTCATGAGTTTTTCCTTCCATTACTGTTAATGCATGCAGTGAAGATACTGTTTATTTTTCCTGTTGTTGTGAGATAACGCATGATTTGCCATAAGTTTTCAGTACAGTTACCATCTAGTTACCCTGAAATAACAAATACTAACTCAAGGCCATATGCTCTTCTCTGGTGAGATAAGGCTGCGTGGTGCGCAAAATAGGCGTAAGTAGAAAGCAGTTTGCTTGGATTGTGCCACAAAATATCACCTTTAAGGGCAGAACAAGCAAAAGGAGAAGGGAAACAGAGACCTTATCAACAAAAGTGTGTACTGCCTTTTCTCCAGCCCAACCCAAGCAACAAAGATACCCAACACAGCCATGTACCAGCCTGGATCACCCCTTCTCCCAAACTAAACTGATCTGTAGGCAGTACAGCACAAGGGCAGCCAAACTCTTCTGCAGCACAAAGCTGGGAAAAGGAACTGAGCAGCCTATACCTCTGCTGAAACATTGCAGGATATTGGCTTGCTGGTTTGGGAGTTCTTAGAAGGGATAAATAAATAAGGAGTTTACTTTGGGCAATTGATACTACTACATAATCCATATGATGTCATCCTGGAGATTAGGGTTTTTTGGATGCTGAATTTTTTCATCATGACTCACAATGTGTTTGCTCTCAGTTGCATGTGGATATCATGGGGTAGCATTTTCAAGAACAGACACACTGCGCTTTTTCATCAGTTCCCACAACACACAAGGTTCCTCCTTCCATGGTCTCCAGGTTCAAACAATGCACGTCCTTGTAAATACCGTGGTATGAGAGATATTCAATCTTCTCATTTGCTCTAAACTACTTTAATAACTGAAAAAAGTGGTGGTATGTAATATTTGGTCTATTTTGGGCTGTGGTCATCACTGAGAAGTTACTGGTTTACGTAAAGATTATTCGTACTACTGAATGCATCCTATGAGCCAATTTCTGAATAATGTCTACAGAGAGAATGCAGAATCTCAGGCTTACCGTGGCAGGACGATTGGCAAGCATGTATTTCAGCAGAGTTAATAGGATGACTCACTGGATCCTTGGGTAAATATAAGGACTGTCATCTTGTCACTGCTAAAAACATGAACCTCCCAGGGAAAGCTACAGGGAAAAAAAAACAACAAAACAATAACATCCTTTTCGAGATAAATGTTAACTACCAGTCACCTGCTGCACATAATAAATCATGCATTATGACTTGGCAGTCCCACAGTCATAACAATAGCCTTTTAAGTCAGAAATGATAATGTAAAAGCAGTGGCAAGGCACAGAAGTGCTCAAAGAGTCTCTGGGTTTCAGGTCATACTAAGTCCTCTGAAAGGATGTTAACAACCTGCTATTTTCCCTAAGGGATTAAGAAAAAGTATTTAACATTACTGACAGACATGCAAATTAGAAGAGACAGCGGAATCATACAAAAAATTAGAACTAATAACAACTCAGCAAAATTAAATATAAGAAATTGTGAAATTGCTTCAAATGCTTCCTAAAAATGTGTACAGATGATGGGAAGGTCTTATTTCTTGGCAGACTAGGCTGCTGGTTCATTTACAGTAAGCCCAGTATTCAGTCTCTTGCTGGAATTTCCATGCACTGAATGGCCTTTGACTGGCTAAGCAGGAATCGTAGCTATTTTGGTAAATAATTGCATGCGATCATAAAGGCACTTCTTTGTATTTGTTTCTACTTTCAAAGATATATTGACAGCAAGGCAATCTTTTGTAAACCTTCATTCAAAGACCCTCATCTCAGTGTCCCATCCCACAAAGTTCAGAGCAATTACAAAAGGTTCTTTATGCTAAGGAGCACCCCATCTAGCATATGACTTCATACGGGTGTGACTTACTCCCCATTGCTGAGTTATACTTCACAGTCTCATCTTTTAGGCTGGAAGTATGTTTGTTTCGGAGTGAATGAAACTTAGAAAGTATGATTTGAGTGTGAATATATGCATAATCTGCAAGAAAAGCTGAAATAATAGCCAGGAAGTTATGGACTATAGCATTAACTTTCCTAAGAACATTATGGTGGTTCTTTTCTGCCATGCTACAGCAATTGTATCTTCATCACTGAGCATGCTATACACGCTGCCAACAGCCTAGGACTCTGTTTCCTCATGCTGTCCTTGCTGTGCCAGGACCTATCTGCAGCTCTCATATGCTTTCCAACTCATGATAGGCTACTGACTGAATGACTGTGTGTTCCCTGTGTTGCTACCCAGGTCTATGCAGTGTTAGCTGATGTTTGCAGCTGGGAGCGCAGGGGTTTGTCTAGCAAGTGCTGATGTCTGTTTAGGCTGAGAGTGAAGAAGGCAATCTTTTCTTGGCAAGGAAAAGAGGTAGAAGAGTCTCAGCATGTGCAGTCTGGCCTTCTGGGGGGAAAGTCAGACAAATATATAGCCATCCACTTAAAAAAATACAAAATTTAGTCTTTTTAACAATGAGTTATTGTTATTTCTTTCTGTGCGAGGGTGAACGATTTAACGGATATATGATATCCACTAATGGGCATAGCACTGTGATAGATAGATTGACACTAAAGTAGAATTGATGGCTTCCCTGGTGATGCATAGGGGAAGGAGTGACAGACTTTTATATAATTTGTAAAAGACCCATTTTTATACAATACATTCATAAAAACAGCAGCTGAGATTGATGAAATGCTTTGGCTGTTGGGACCTTATTTTCAATGACTGCCTTTTACTGGCTCAGTCATTACAGGAAAGAGTGTACAGTTTCATTATTCCCTGCTCAAGGTTTCCAGATTTTTTTTTTCTAACTGAAGAAATAAAAGAATTTATCAACAATTTTATTTTATCTCTAGTATAATATTTTTCTGCCCTTGAGTTCCAAATGTGAATGGTGATGATACGTACTAACAAATTCATTTCCAAGTCTCTTCCTCTAGTGTCTCTGTGCATAATGAGCTGAAGTATATAATGACAGTGCATGGCTCTGCGTCATGGGCTCCCAGCACTCAGCAGTGCCCAGTTCTGCAGGACTGAGAGCCAGGGGCCAAGGGATGCTTGCCTGCCCTTCCTGCCTGCCAGGTCCCCATGCAGCATCTGATTGCTGTGCAAAGCCCTCCAGACTAATACCAAAATCTATTTATTCGTTCTAGATACCAGTGACTCAATCTGAAGCTCGCTTACCAAAAAAACTCTTGTGATGACTAAACTGCAGCAAAAGCAGGCAAGGTAAGGAGTGAAGCAGTCCATCTATTAACCATCTTTGTAATTGTCTCTCCTCTTCAAATGCCAGAGAGGGAGGGATGAGCTATGCAGTGCGCCACTGCAGTCCCAGATTTAGGCTGCTTTTTGAAGATTAAAGGCATCACAAAGTCTAGGCTCTCCTCAGAAATTTTATCAAAGGGGTTTCCTCCCCTCTTCTACACTAAGAGAGACTAAACAAGTCATAAAGTGGTCCCATGAGCCTGTCTGGTGGGATGGCCGTGGTTTTGAGAACATCAGAGGATGCCACCAGGCTTGAGGTCGGGTCTGTTTTGAGGGGATTCCAACACAACGTGCACAGTACATTGGACAGAATTCTTTCTTTTACTGAATGTACCAGAAAATGCTGTACCTTGCTAGAAGCTGTACTTGGTTGATTCAATCAATGAAATGCATTTTTGTTTTCTGAATCAGTACTGAGCCATTGATGCATCAAACTGGTTTTTGATAATGTGTACTGTAGCACAAGGCATTTAGAGAGGCTTCTGTGGGATGAGCCAGAAAGCCAAAGACAAATGTGCTTGTGTTCCACAAAGACCTTTCAGCATCACCCCTGCTCTACTCTGCATATTTTATAAAAGTATTTGCCATTAAGCACTCACCCTGTTTCGCTTCAGAACTATTTTCATTTTATGGCAGAAAACATGAACTCTGTGCTGTCTCCTTGTTGATTTGCTGAGCATCTCAGGGTCCCTTGGAATACAGGCTGTTTATGACTGCTGCAGTAAATTCTAAGCTTAAATTGATTTGGAAGAAACTCCTGTGTCCTGAACCTGGTTTGGCTGGCACCCTCCAAAAGAGCATGTATCAGCTGGCTTGTAAGGTAGGATATGGGTCCTAGTCAAAGATAACTGTATCTCCAACTGTTTGCTTTTATTGCTATTTGTGCTTACAATGTCAATGTATAAATATAATTCATATTTTTATGAATTAATTTCCACAGTTATATTAGAAATCTGTTCTCTGACTATATAATGCAGTAGTGGGATTTCTTTTTAATGTTCTTTTCCCAATTTTATGAGTTACACTGTAACACTGAGGGAAATACATGAATTATTTATTAACTTAAAGCACTTGCTGTACAAAAATTATTCCTAATGTTGCATCAGTAAGAGCTTGCATTGCCCTAGAAAATCACTTTTTGATAACCAAAATGTTTTCCAGAGTTACGTGATAAAGTAGAAACTACATACAACATCAGGCAAAGGATTATATCTGCAGCAGCAGCACCAGGCAACTGCTGCTCTTCCATGGTGAAGGCAGAATGAAAAGTCTCTGTTGACACTGTTATTAAAATGCAGAGAGAGAATAAAACAATGATCAACCAAAGCAAAAGGCTTGAGCCCTGCAGCAAAGATGTGTGTATTCATGACTTTTCCATCACTATCAATAATTCATAATGACCATCATGTAGATGATGACACCAACTTTTGAGACAGGCTGAGTCAAGCCTTCTATCACTAAATGTGAAAAAACATTCGACATGACATTGGATGTCAAAAAGCTAGGACCTGCTAGATAAGCAAAGATCCAGTAGAAAGGGTAATGGAGAAGAAAATCAGCTGATGCTGACATAAATTGACATCTGTTGTACCAGTTTATAATGCTCTATGGAGGGAAACTTTTTTGTTGTTGTTAATATGTACTGAAATAAACAGTTTTTGGAGCACAAAATTATCTCGTTTAGGAAAAAAAGGATGTGCTAATTCTTTGTGAGCACTCATGCAACATAAAGAAACTACATTCAATATGATATTCAAATTTTACAGCTATGTTCTTTCTTTAGTTAATGCACTCTAATTCCGCATAGGAGTGGACAGTAGGTACATTGCTAATTCCCTATGGTGTCTTAGATTCTGGACTGATGCTCTGAATAATTATTTTTGCATAAAGATCATGGTGACAAAGGAAGAAAGCAAGACTGGGACTTACACATGTATGTATCTCTTTATAAATAATATTTGAATTGGCATGAATTCAGTTCTCACACCAGAAATTCCTCTGGTGTAAATAGGAGAAGAATTGGCTGAGTATGTGCATGGTTGGGCATATGACCTGAAGGAAGAAAACTGTGAGCAGTCCCACTGAACCATCCCTACCCAATGCTTTGATGATCAAATTTGGTTTGGAGTTTGCCTACAACTCTTTTAACTGTTCCTGGGCTTCATCTGTACCATTAAAACCAGTTAATGGCAGTCATACATAAGCATATATCTTACATGTATCTTATATATGTATGTCTTATATCCATAAGACAAATACTCTGCCCACATGGAGGTGGCAATCAAGCTTCTGGGAGTTCAGCACTGCTGGTAATCTCAGTGTGACCCACCATGGGGCATGAATGAAGGAGGCAAAGCAAAGCACCAGCTGCTGACATTTCCACCTGCTGCTGTGCCCTAGTGCTGGTGGAACAAACCAGGCCCATCCCAATTCCCTTGCAGAAGACACACAGCCATGGCTGATGATGATCATAGAAGCTGAGAGGCAGGAAGGCTGTGAAACTGACCTGGATTAGGAGTATTTGGAAAATCAGGTAGAATTTCATTCCTTCAAGCAGTGCTAATTAATGAATTAATTTCCACTGCCAGCCTAAATGCTGTATAATTTACTCTTCAAAATAACTCCACTGAATGTGATTTCAATGTGATCTTTCAAGGAGTTTCATCCACTTATCTGCCTTAGAGCAGATTTATAAATTACCGGAGCCTACTGTGTCAGCAGTAACTTCTGAACTTGGGCAGGAGCCGCTCGCATGCTCTGCAGGGCAGGAAGTTAAGTTCAGGGCTTTGCTCACAGGGGTCAGCATTAGACGTCTCTCTTTCTGGCAGCTGAATCATTACAGGTCACCCAGTCCTTCCTACAGTGCTGTATGTCTGATGCCTAATGAGGCAAAACAACCAAATTTACTGTAAAGTTATGCCTTTAATGCAAAGCTGAGCAGGGATGGTGTGCAAGCAACACTGTGACGAGGTCACAGGTCTGAAGCAACGACAAATTAGGATTGTTACTGTTCTCTTTAAACTAAGCTGTAGGAGTGCAAGAATGCTGAGGTATAAAGGAGAAAATATAATTCTGGCCCTGCTGTTCTCCCCTCTGCACATCCATCCCTCATTCCCTGCTCCCAGATGCTGCAGCCACAGCACACAGAGGAACAACTGGGCAGGGACGTGGGTCACACACAAGCCACGTTTCACTCTATGGGTTAAGGAAAGCATGAGCATCAAGTATGAGAGAGAGTCCCTGCTCTCAATTCACTTTCAGTTATTATTCATTTCTTGGCCTTTAACAGCGATCCACATCCTTATTCATACCCACCTTTTGCTTTTTACAGGAGTCACGAAAAAACTATTGCTATTAACACAGCAGCACGTGGAAGACAATGTGTGTGCCTGTATAGTCAACCGTGCTCTTTATGATGGAATAATAAATTCGTTCAAAGATTTGCAGTGGCTTAACAGATGTACCAGAGAGATGTGCCTGCAGATTGGAGAAGGCAGTGAGTGCTGAAGATGCATTTCCATGTTGAGAAGATGGGACTGCATGCAGATCTCACGTGCTGGGAACCAGCTTGGCTTTGCACGGATAGGGATACCTACAGGAGGAGAGCTTCTAAACACTCTGGGTCAAAGAACCCCAGGGGTCCGGCTGTCACCTCCAGGCTGTGAGCTCTGTGGGGAGCACAGATCGCCCCGAGGACCACATGGAGGTGCTGGGAGAAGGTCTGACCCACAGCACGTGTGCTGCGGCAGGGAGGGCTGCTCCGAGGTGACAGAGCTTCCAGCATCGAACCGGACAGCGAGTGGTGAATGGCACGGCACGCCTCTGCTATTCTACTGCCAATCTGGAGGTCTCACCCGAAATTCAAGAAGTTTTCAGGATTCACACAAAGAACGCCAACATCATAACAGCGCTCGTGTGCAACGAGCAGAACCCCCGAAGCAAAAAATCACAGCAAACTGACCAAATCCCTCTCTTTACAAGTTGATAAAGTTGTTTTACGGAGAACGCCGTACAGAGGCCAAACCCGAAGCCACCCCTCCACGTCTCGCAAAGTTTTCCGGCGGTTGTCCTCCCCCGCCCACCCACCGCCCCCCACCACCCCAGCGCCTCCCGCCCGGCCCCGCTCCCCTTCCCGGCCGCCCAAACGCGGCGCTCGGGGGCTCGGCTTACCGCACGCCCGTGAACGGCCGCCGGAGGTTCCCGCAGAACTCACCGGAGCGCTCCGCCGCCGCACAGAGACGCGCTGACCCGGCGCCGGTTCCGCGGCGGCCGCGCAGCCCGCACCGGAGAGCCGCCGCCGAGCCGGGGCCGCTGCTGTCCGCGGCCGCCCTGGTGCTGAAGCGGCCCCTCCCTCCCGCCCGCCCCCGCCGGGCCTTGTAGCGTAAACGGGTGGCCATGGCAACGCGCGTCACGCAGGCCGAGGCGGGGCTCCCGCTCGCCGCAGCACGGGGCAGGCCGCGCGCCGCCGCCTCGGTGTGCCCCAGCAGCGGGGCGGGACGGCGGGCCTTTAACGCCTTCACGCGCGCCGGGCAGCGCTCTGCCGCGGGGCCGTCACTGCCGGCAGGCGGGCAGCTTCGGGCACCCGGGGGAAGGCGGCTTCGCCCTCCCGCTGCCCGTCTTCCGTCCCGTACTCCCCGAGCGGTGCCCAAACAGAGCTCCTTTGCTGCCGAGGTCCTTCCCGCGTACCACGTCTGCGGTTTTGTTCTCACTGTGCGCCGAGGCGCAGCTCAGCCCTCGCCTGGTGGTTGTCCGCTGTGGGCGTGCACAGCGAGGGGATGCGGAGCTGCAGAAGGACCCCAGCGAACACATGTGAAGCTTCAGAGCCGCAAAATAGAGGGCTTGCGGTGTTTCAGCCGGCATAAGTGCAAGGACCCGCTCTTCAGTCGCTTAGAATCCAACGTTATGACTTAGACACAACACAGTGCTCCCCCCCCGCGCTCATTTTCCACGCAGCCTTCAGTTCCTGGGAGAGGAGCTGGCTCTGCAGAAGCTCTGCTGGGAGAGAGCCCCTCCGTGCAGGCTCCATATGCTCCTCAATATGCAGCGTGTCACTAATTCGGTTCTAGTTTCAAGTGGTGAGATGAGAAAAGCAGTTTTTTGAGCTGTGGGGTTCTAAAATTAAATCTCTTCGATCAATTACTTAACTTGCTGGGTGGAACAAATCCCTGCATGGAATTAGGTTACAGCATTTGTGTCTTTCTTCGTTGTAGTACTCAATACTTGATAGTTGTTGTACAGCGTCTGCTTTGCCCACTGCACGTAACTGAAATGAAAGACAATTCACTTTAGTGTTCTGAGAACTGATGCCAAATGGGTAAGTTGTGATTATTTTTGAAAAAGCGCAGATTCAAAGCTACGATGACTCATGACACTGAGCATACCTTGACAAGAAATGGCTATGTCAGTATTTTAAGCTAACTTTTATGACAGGCAAATCTATATCATAACCTTAAAGAGCTGTGTCTGTACTTTAATTTACAGCACCCGGATACTTCTAGGCTGGCTCTTGCGTATTACACAACATCAAGGTTTTAACCTGTTCTCTCAATAAATGAATGAATGAATAAATAAATAAATAGGAGCAATCTGACCCTTGTTAAAACACGAAAATCCCCAAACCAGTTGTTATTCTTTAGGGCCTTTAAAAACATCTTCAGTGTCTCTTTCCTCTTGAGAACCGCTTTATGGAAGCAGTGATAAAATGCTACTGAAGGAACTACACAGCACTGAGTAATCAAAAAACCTGCTCATGAACCAACTTCATTTTAGGCCTTAAATGCCAAATGCTCAGCATTAGTTTACATTCCTAGCTGTCGAAGTAGAAATATATCAGTGATGAGATTTTCATAACTCACAAGCCCTTACAAACTCAATACAAACCAGTGCTCTGCTCTCACAACTTCACTCACAGCCCAGAAGTTACTCACCTGCACTCACCCAGCACAGAACAAAGCCCACAGCTCTGCCCAACACTTGTATGTCTCTGTTGGGTGACTGATTGGCTAAACCAATTAGTTAACGCACTATGAAAACCAGATAATTTCCAGCCCCATGGCTGGGTAAGAGAATAGCTATTAGTGTATAGAGAAAAGCTTATGTTCAGTGCTGATAAAACTAATTTAATGTGAGGCAGGGAGAGCTGGATTTTCTTGGAACTGTGCCTTTACCTTCTTGCGCATTTTCGAGGAGGTGGATGTTAATTTGTGCCATCATGATGTCACCATGCTAGTATGAATGGCCATATGCAGTCAGGCCAGAGGAATGATCACAGGGTTTGCAGCAATATATTTTCAGAAAGAAAAGTGGCAGAAGGTACTGAATGAAAGAGAAGGACATCTGTATGATGAATTCCTGGGTCCACTGAGGTTGACGGGACTTTCGCTACTGAGCTCAATGAAACTGGGATTTCACCCAGCACATTTTGTTTGTTTTGGAAATGAGGATTTTAAAGGTAACTTCTGAGGGCAGGTCTCCTCTGCCATGTAGAGAAATGCTCTCTAAAGCCTGGACTCTTGCTACCTCCTCCTGCTTTGGCCCTAATTCAAGAAAGCACTTAACACATACATAAGTACTGTTCTCATCAGCAAAGTTTTTGAGCAAATACCTAGCTTAAGGATTTGCTTATCTCTAATTCTTTGGTTAAGAAGTAAGGTATTTCTCAATAGGAGTGGGATAATCTAGCTGTAAATCCTTATCATTTATATCGTTTATAACAAGAGCTTAGTCATCTTTTGACCAGTGACGCACAGCAGTGATTTCTTGCTGAATAAAATTTTAGAAGCACAGCCAATTTTTCACAGAGGCTTTGGAACTGTGCCCTTTATCTGGTTTTATGCACTGCTCCAAGTGTGTAGCGTGGAAAGCCTAATGCAAGGTCATGCTTTGCTAGAGTAACAGCACCTAGCTGCAGCCATAGGGTCCAGCTCTATCATCAAATTTTATCAAATTTCATAGTGATTTTGATATGCAGAGTAAGTTCCAACTGTGATAGTAATAAAGGCAGTTTAAAAATGAAGAAGATTACCAAGCTTGGAATTGTAAAGGTCAGATCCTGATCTATGCTTCCCCCAATTCTCACATGTATTTAGATTTGAGATACCCTGCACATTTAGCTCTGCTCTGCAGTTCAGTAGAGAGGAAGAAAATAGTTTTTACCTTTGGAAAATTCCATCACAGTGCTATATTTTCACTCCAAAACTGCAGAATTTCATGTCACGTATGATGCATAGTCTGTCTCAAAGAGAATCATTGGAGGAAAAAAAAATCCCCATGGCCTTGATTTTAAGCTTATGCTTCTGAGACAAGATGGGAGGAAAAAGTGCACTTTCCAGATTAACTAGGCATTGGCTTTGCTTTTGCGCACAAAAAGGAGAAATGCTACTGTAAGAAATTTTACTTTCCAGACTGCCAGAGAGAATCCGACAGCTTGCGCACATCTGTCAGAACACAGCAAGCTCTCCCTTTTGTCACGGGGTGCCTTGCATGGAGTGCTCGGCCAGACTTTAGGAAGGAATGTGTCTGCTTTTTCCATTCAGTAGCCACAGTGTGCTAATCAGACCTTACAGAGTGGAAGAGGGTTCTTGAGAGCTACTTGATCTGCAAGTTTCTGCTCAGGAAACTGGAAAGGGAAAGGTCCACTGAGGTCCGAGCTTTTATGGCTCCTGCAATTTTTTATGGAGTTTTACTCATAAATGTGAAGAGACTTGCTAAGTTTATTTATTGCGTGAGCCTAGAAGTGGAGAATGTTTTCATTCATCCAAAACAGTTTTTTTCAATACAGAATGCAATTCACTTTTTCTTTGCCACTCGTGCTTAGAATGAAAGCAATTCAACACAATCAAAACCATGAGATTAGTCAGAATTAGCTCTTTTCATGTTCTGATGCTCAAACTCTGATCTTGTACGAAATAACTTTTTGACCTTTGGCCAATGAGGAAAAAGTTGAAAAGCTCAAAATAAGCTATAAAAATAGCCATTAAAGATTTCCTCAGGAAATCTGTTTAAATACTGATGTCATTTTCTACAGGAGCTACTTCAATTTGAAATAGCTTCTTGAACTGAGGGGAACTAGAAAGGCACTGCCAGAGCATGCAGAGATCAAGGCTCATTGCTAAGTGGGTCGACACAGTGTGAGACAAATGAAAGGGGAAATGCATGTGCGAGGTGCCATGTAAAAAGGTTGTGAGCTGCAAGGTCTAGTAGGAAGAAGGCTGCTCCAAGATGAATGAACCATCTGAGAAAAGAAGTGTCTCTGTATTCTGTAATTTGAGTGTGGCTCCTGTGACATTCAGCAAACTTCGCACCAGCTGCTAGATTTTGGAGAAACCCACATCAGTGATGATTTTAAATGGAGATTTGATAGTCCAGCAGGTGAGAAGCTGCAGAAAACACACTTGGTATCATGACTGATAATAGAGTGAAGATGGAGCTTCTAATTCAAGACACAGAGTGGTGAATGTTAGTCTGTTGGGAAGCCAGGGGAAACAGGAGAAAATGTGGCCTTGCAAATCCAGTTATGCTTCCAAAAATATACCACAGGAACATTAGATGCTATTGGGAACACACATAGTAGAGCTAAGTGCTCAGCAAAG